CGCGGGCGCCGACGCGCTGCTCGCCCGGCGCCGCAGTGGCTCCCGCCGCCGCCCATCGGAGGCCCCGGGCGCCGACTCCCCGGTGGACGAGGCGGAGGTGGCGGAGGCCCTGCCGTGGCGCTCCATGGGCGCGCCGAGCCGGCCCGCTCCCATCCGCAGCAGCCGCCGCTGCCGCGCCAGCCAGCCCCCCAGCGTCGGACTCCTCGCCTCCTCCGCGGCAGGCCAGACGGAGCAGAGGCGCACCCTCGGCCGACCGCCTCTTCCGTTGCGCCAACGCGAGCAGGCCAATCCGAGTAAGCTGGGGGCGGCCCCCAAGGCCTCGTGCCCAATAGGCTGCCTGATTCGAGACGGATCGACCGCGCCTCGATCCAATGAGAGGCTCCCGGGACGGGGCGGGGCGGAGGGGACGGAGGAGGGGATGGAGCGGAGGAGGGGATCCGGGCTTCTGGGAGGAGGAGAAGGCGGTGTAACCGAGGGGGAGAGAGTGATGGCGCCGCCGCCCAATGGACGCGAGGGTGGAGGGGCCCTCGCCCCATCTTCGCTCCCCACCTGTCCCCCGGGTGGACTGCTCAGCGCCCCGGGACCCGGAACTCTCCCGGGACGCCGCCACGTGCCCCCGATTCCCACCCCGCGGCTCCGCGCGGTCCTCCTCCTCCTGGCTCGATCCCTTTTGCATCCCAGCAGTGCCCCCGCGGCCGCCAGTCGTTGGCAGACGGAAGGACTTGAACCGCGGCTGACCTTAGCCTTTGTCCCTCGGCCTGGTTCCGCAGCTGCTATCGAGGCCACCATCCCCTCCCCCAGCACGTTTGGGCTAAGCCTCCTCCATTCCGCCTGCGTTGGAGAGATGTTCCTGGTACCAGAAGGAATGAAAGGACTGGGGTTGGTCTCCATGGCAACTGGAAGAAAGAGGTGGGTTATAAATCCTTCGCCACCCTCCTGTGGCGAAGGAGGAGGTGTGGGAGCCGGGAAGTAGGGTTGGCCTTTTGAAGGAGAGTCTGAAGCCCCTTTCTGCGTGGTGCATTGGAGACATAGAAGGATTTGGTGGCCCTTGGAGACTAGATTTTTTTTTTTAATCATCTTGGGGGAGAGAAAATAATCATCTCCAGCCTCGAGACCCTGACTCTAACACCAAAGGCCCTTCTATGCATCCCTTCTACCAAAGGCTGTCCAAGCCTGGGATGATCCTACCTTGCTCTGTATCCCCAAGGCACTCACTCCCTCACTCAGTCAAGTTGAACTGAACTGTGGGCTAATTATTTTATAAGTGCTTCCCTGGGTGACTGTACTATCCCACAGGCAATGACTCTTATTTTCTTCACCTCTAACGACTGGACAAGAAGGTTGCTCTTCTCTTGTGCATGTTAAATACAATTCCCCTGCTCACTCCACACTAGCTCTTCTCGCTGTAACTTTGGGATAACTCTGGAAATTCCAGCTCCTGCAGGAAGCCACCCCAGATGGATCCTACAAGAACCAAGAACACCTATAGATACTCTTCTAAATCTCAGTGTCCCATGCTGCCTACCTTTCTGCCTCCTCTCCCTCCCCGCAAAAATGCGGTCCTCCTTGACCTGAGGGAGCTTCCATCCACGTGCATGAGCTCTGATAGATCATCTTGAAGAAACAGAGTCATCATCATCCCTTGGCTGCCAGGATGAATCCCAGCATCAAAACAACACCTGAAACCCAGTGCGTTTACATCCCACTTAATTCCTGCAGCAACATTTGGATGATGAGGCAATTTGTCCAGAAGCACACGGCTTACAAAATGACAGAGCCTGTTCTGAGTCTTCACTGTCTTTCGTGTGTTTGTGAATTTGCTGACAGTCTGTGGCTATCATTACATTTATCTAAAATAACAGGCAAAGCATGTACTAAAGGCAACTAGGCAGGATGTTTATAATCCTCAATCAAAAATGCAGATAATTCTGCGCCTTTGGGAGCCCGAGGTGAGTGGATTGCCTGAGCCCACGGGTTCAAGACCCGCCTAGGCGGGCAAGGCCTCATCTCTACAATAAATCAAAAAATTAGCCGAGCGTGGTAGCGTGCGCGCCTGTAGTTCCGGCTACTCGGAAGGCTGAGGCGGAAGGATCGCCGGAGCCAAGCAGGTCGAGGCTGCGGTGGCCGGGAGCGGCCACTGCACTCCAGTATGGGCGACAGAGTGAGACTCCAACTCAAAAAAAAAAAAAAATGCAGATAGGCTGGGTGCTGTGGCTTATCCCTGAAATCCCAGTGTTTTGGGAGGCCAAGGCAGAAGGATAGCTTGAGACTAGGAGTTTGAGACCAAACTGGGCAACATAGCAACACCCCATCTCTACCCCCCCAAATTTTTTTTAATTAGCTGGGCGTGACGGTGAATGCCTATAGTCGCAGTTACTAGGGAGGCTGAGATGGACAAGTCCTTTGAGTCCAGGAGTTTCAGGTTACAGTGAATTATCACTCCCACCTGGGCAACAGAGCAAGACCCTGTCTCTTTTTTTAAAAAAGGCAAATAAATTGAGCAAAAGAAACCAGACACAAAACACATCATGTATAATTCCATTTGTATGAAGTTCAATATCAGTAGAAGATGTGGGAAGTGATGATGATGGCTCCTTTTGGGAAAGAGGGAGAGAGAATAATAAGAGGAGACCAGACAGGCTTCCTTCCAGGAGGCTGGTAATGTTCTGTTTTGTTGATCTGGGTGGATTACATGGGTATATTCACTTCGTAATATTTTATCAAGCTGTTGACTTATGATTTGTGCACTTTTCTAAGTGTTACACTTAAATAAAACATTTACTTTTCTAAACAACTGAAAATGTGCCTTGGAGCAAAGTAAGGTAAACCCATGAGTAAGCTTATATTTTTTTGTTTCCAAAAAGTGAAATGAAAGTAACAATTAAATGTTTCCTTTCTCTGTGGTTATTATAATAGTTTACTTGATAGAGCTTATTCTTTGTTTGTTTGTTTTTAGTTGGAGTCTCACTCTGTCACCCAGACTGGAGTGCAGTGGCGGCTCCCGGCCACCGCAGCCTCGACCTGCTGGGCTCCGGCGATCCTTCCGCCTCAGCCTTTCAAGTAGCTGTAACTACAGGTGCGCTACCACGCCTGGCTCATTTTTTGATTTATTGTAGAGATGAGGTCTCACCAAGTTCCCCAGGCGGGTCTCGAACCCGCGGGCTCAGGCATTCCACTCACTTCAGCCTCCCACAGCACGGGATTACAGGCTGAGCCACCGAGCCCGGGTGAGAGCTTATTCTTTATCACCCTTCTCAAGTATTCACCCCTGGGGAGAAGCCAATTTTCTGGTATATACACCAGAATAAGCAGCATGGAAACATGGTGAGCATAGTGCTTCCAAGGAACTAGCCAGAGTCTAGAGGGGTAAATTGCAAATCTGGAGCCATTTCAATGAGAGAGCATCATACAGAATACTTATCCACTATGCTAGTTGCTTATTGATAGGTAAAAAAAAATTACCCTCAAACTTCAGCTTAGACAGTAATAAATATTTGTATATTATCCCAGTTTCTGTGAGTCAGGAATTCAGAGCTTTTCTGGCTCAGGGTCATTTGTAGTCAGGTGGATGGGGGTCCACTTCCAAGATGGCTTAGTCACATGGCTGGCTGTTAGCAGGTCTCAGCTCACAATGTAGGCTTCCAGAGGGCTGCTAAACTGTCCCTACAACGTGGCTGCTGGCTTCCCCTAGAGCTAGTGATGGATAAAAAAACAAGGCAGAATTTGCAGTGTCTTTTATGACTTAGACTGGGAAAATAAACTCCCTCATTTACACAATATCCTACTATTACACAGGTCAGCCTATCCAATGGTGTTTGTTCTACAAGAACATGAATATCGGGAGGGAGAGAATCCCCTGAGACCATCTTGGAGACACAGTCTTCCCTCCGGTCCCCAGGGGTTCGCATCTGAGTTTCTTTTTTTTTTTTCCCCTTGAGTTGGAGTCTCTCTCTGTCACCCTGACTGGAGTGCAGTGGCACGCTCCTGGCCACTGTAGCCTCAACCTGCTGGGCTCTAGCGATCCTTCTACCTCAGCCTTCCAAGTACCTAGAACTACAGGTGCGTGCTACCACACCTGGCTAATTTTTTTATTTATTGTAGAGATGAGGTCTTGCCAAGTTGCCCAGGTGGGTCTTGAACCCGCAGACTCGGGCAGTCCACTCACCTCAGACTCCCAAAGCGTGGGATTACAGGCTGAGCCACTGAGCCCAGCCACATCTGAGTTTCTAGTGAGGTTTTGGGGTTTTCTTGTTTGTTTTTTTGAGTTGAAGTCTCGCTCTGCTTCCTAGGCTAGTGTGCAGTAGCACACTCATAGCTACCACAGCCTCGACCTGCTGGGCTCAGGCAATCCTTCTACCTCAGCCTTCTAAGTAGCTGGAACTACAGGCACTCACCACCACACCAGGCTATTTTTTTTATTTGTTGTAGAGATGAGGTCTCGCCAAGTTGCCCACACGGATCTCGAACCCCTGGGCTCAGGCAGTCCTCTCTCTTGCCTCCACCTCCCAAACTGCTGGGATTACAGGTGTGAGCCACCACTCCCGTCTTTCTTTTTCTTACAGCTAAGGTAGAGCATCACTGGGGAGTAAAAATTAAGATATCAGCCGGGTTCGGTGGCTCAGCCTGTAATCCCGTGCCTTGGGAGGCTGAGGTGAGTGAATTGTCTGCCCGCAGGTTCGAGACCCACCTGGGCAACTTGGCGAGACATCATCTCTACAGTAAATCAAAAATTAGCCGGGCGTGGTAGCACACGCCTGTAGTTCCAGCTACTTGGAAGGCTGAGGCGGAAGGATTGCTGGAGCCCAGCAGGTCGAGGCTGCGGTGGCCGGGAGCAGCCACTGCACTCCAGTCTGGGTGACAGAGTGAGACTCCAACTCAAAAAACAAAAAAAAAATTAAGATAGCCTCACAAGAGTGCCAGGCCACTGAGGTTTAAAGATAAAGTTCTTTCTCTTTCATTGGGCTCCATCAGTGCCAGGGACATGGGAGATTAAAGCCTCTTTCAAACACAGGGCCTTTTTTCCAGAGTGTAATGGTATGAAGAATTTGGGAAAACCTTACCTTTTTAATTGTCTCTCTCAAAGGACAGAGGTATGAAAAACATGAAGTTCTTTTTTTTTGAGTTGGAGTTTCACTCTGTCGCACAGACTGGAGTGCAGTGGCCGCTCCCAGCCACCGCAGCCTCGACCTGCTGGGCTCTGGCAATCCTTCCAGCCTCAGCCTTCCGAGTAGCTGGAATTACAGGCGCATGCTACCATACCCGGCTAATTTTTTGATTTTATTGTAGATATGAGGTCTCACCTGCCCAGGTGGGTCTCGAACTCGCAGGCTCAGGCAATCCACTCACCTCAGCCTCCCAAAGGCGTGAGATTACAGGCTGAACCACCATGCCCGGCTACAAAAAATTTAAAACTTAGCTGGGCATGGTGGCTCGCGCCTATATTCCCAGCTACATGGGAGGCTAAGGTGGAAGGATCACCTCAGCCCAGGAGGTCGAGGCCATGG